TATAGCCGGTCATGAGGTCGGGATCGCATTCGCGGACAAAGTCTGCCCACGCGTTCAGCAGCTTCTTCTCGTCGTCAAAACTCTTCACTTCGTGGCCGACAATCGGCGCGCAATCTTTTAACGTGAAAATCACTTTAATAAATGGATCCCTTTCTCCCTGTCGTATGACATAATTGGCGATTTGAATAACTGGATCCATCTCTGGCTCCGGGAATATGCCTTTCCTTCCGGCGCACTCGATGTCAAAGCTTAAGACACGGAACGGCGCTATTCTAGACCACTGGCCCTCCGGTTCATAGGACTTGAATTTGTTATAAGCGATGTCCACTTCCAGTTGACAGCGAGAGTCCATTTGTTCGGCGGGCCGTATAGTGTAGGCACCGGCCGGCAGTTCAACCCAATTGCAACCGACAACACGTGTGTCGACCATAAATCTAATGTCAAAATCAATGTTACTTTCGTAAGACTGGATGCCGTCCGTAGAGAAGGCGCTATTGTTGGACAGAATACGAGCGGCCGGTGCTATGAGTCGCGGCAAACACATCGTGATCTTCACAAACGGGATCTTAACGTAACCCCTATAGCCATAAATGGACTGCTTTTGAACCAATTCCACGGCCAGAACGGCGTTCTCGATGTTATCCGAGTTGCCTCTCATGTCTTGGAGGACGTGTTTATTCAACTTTTCCATAAATGGCGAACAATTGTCTTTCGTAAAACCATTTGGGGCCGGGATATAGAAATAGGGGGCAAAGCCATGGATGTGACACATGATGGAGACACCGGTTTCGGTGATACCAAACATCCGCATAATGGGCGCCACGCCGTCGGCGGGTCCGGGCATTCCCGGCCTAATGGGACCGATATATGAATCGATGTCTATCTGTTGAAAGACAATGGCGTCGGCGTCCGGATCGACATCACCCCTCTTCGGACGACACCATCGCGTGTGTGTCTCACTTGATTCGGGCGCTGAAACTGTTAACAAATAATGTTGTCATTCATTGTCACTACTTTTAACCGTAAAAACGCATACAATTCTCATCCAAGGCATCCATGTCTTCGTCGGGCATCTCCTGAGACATAAAATCCATGTCTTCATCCATAGTGTCGTCGAAGTCGTCGTCGTTATTGTCATCATTAGGTCTCGGCTTCTTGTGCTGTGTCTGCGATTCATTGGTCTTCGCGTTTGCGTTAAAAGTCTTGGTTTTAGTGAAACTCTGTTTCGCAGTATTGGCCTTATTATTGCCAAAACTGCCGAAACCTCTCTTCTTGTTATCCATTGAATGACAAATCAATCAAAATCTTGGGATCAATTGATTTGACGACAAAACCATTGAAAGAAACGCAACAATACTTTTGGCGCAAAATATTTTCACCACTTTTTAAACATTCAGTCAAATCATTGACTTTTTCTGCACTTTGTTTGCGATACCATTAAAACTAAATTAATTTACTTTTTTATCAGTTATTTGTTTTTGTGATTTAATCTCATATTTTAATTAATGTAATTGTTTTACTTTTAATTACTCTTTAGTTCATATAATAATTAAATTAAAAGTGTTTTTATAAATAAGTTTGACTGCAATTAAAAGTATTTCGTAAACAAAACGTCTCTTTATTTATGAACGAAATGCTGTGACAAAAGTGTTGTGCCATTGAATGGGTGTTAGAACTGAGCGATAGTTAAGGCCTTTTATATATAGACTGTTATTATAGGGAATGGTATGAAAAGCGTAACCAATAAACGGCACAAATGTGTTGACAACAAAAAGCGGTGTTTGTTTTGTGCGNATTGAATGAGTGTTAGAACTGAGCGATAGTTAAGGCCTTTTATATATAGACTGTTATTATAGGGAATGGTATGAAAAGCGTAACCAATAAACGGCACAAATGTGTTGACAACAAAAAGCGGTGTTTGTTTTGTGCGGTTGAAAGCGTGTATTGTTTGTGATTTATTTGATCCCAATTCAGACATTGAATAGCCGTTGATAATCACCACAACTGATCCCATAGACTGAGACAATGGCGTACAAGGGCTCGCAGAAGATCCAGAAGGTGATGGTGCAGCCGATTAACCTGATCTTCCGGTACCTGCAGAACAGGGCCCGCATTCAGGTGTGGCTGACGGAGAACATCACCACCAGAATAGAGGGCCATATCATCGGTTTCGATGAGTACATGAATCTGGTGTTAGACGACGCCCACGAAGTGCACCTCAAGACACAGGTCCGCAAACCCGTCGG